CGATAAAACTGACAAATTTGCTATCCTAAACAAAATACACTCGCTAGGATTCAGAGGTAACTTACCAAAATTTATTCAAGGATTCCTTTCTAGTCGCTGCTTTCGCGTCCGTATAGGGAAACTGTTATCCAAGCAATGTAGACAAGTGAGTGGAGTACCACAAGGATGCGTTTTAAGTACAACACTATTCGCACTGGCGGTTAGTGACTTGGGAAAAAATCTTCCACGCGGAGTCAAAGTAATGCTCTTTGTCGACGATCTTGCGATTCTATACAGAGCGAAAGATGTCCTGTCTGTAAAAGATAAGCTCCAAGAAGCACTGAATCGTATTGATGACTGGTCGAAATCATCAGAACTTGTTTCTCTTCTGAAAAAAACTAAATGTATTCACTATAGCAGAAAACGAAATATTCCACAATCGCCAGAACTTCTTTTAGGTGATGCCATCTTACCATATGTCAACACTTGCAGATTCTTGGGATTATTATTTGATAAACGTCTATCCTGGGAACACCACATAAAATCACTCAAAGATACATGTACTAAAAAACTTCAGCTACTGAGAGTACTTAGCGGAACTAACTGGGGAGCAGACAGAACTACCATGATTAAAGTATACCAAGCTCTGATCGGCGCAAAAATAGATTATGGTAGTTTTGTCTACGGTTCTGCCCGGAAAAATGCTATAGCCAAGCTCGACTCCGTGCACCACTCCCACTGGAATACGCCTTGCAACTGGAGCCTTTAGAACAAGCCCAACCCTGAGCATTTGTGTCGAATCTGGCCTTACACCACTGCACTTTAGAAGACAGAAACTTGCAATAAACTATATTACTAAATTATACCCGCAAACTTCACACCCCTCCCATAAATAGGTTTTTCAATCTAAATTCTCAAAAAGATTTAAAGAAAAAAGGAATACCACATTACCATTGGCAGAAAGAATGTCTCTTATTATAAATAAACTAAAACAAATAACATTACATGAAATAGAAAAAGAAATAGCCCCTTGGACCTATATACAACCTAAATTAAATCTTCAACTCACCCAATTCACCAAAGATACTACATTACCTGCAGATTACAAAGAAAAATTCCACAAAATAATCATCACGTTACCTGAACATCTTCTAATATTCACCGACGGATCCAAATCAGATAGATCTACTGCTTCAGCCTTTGTCACTCCTGATACTACCTACAAATATAAATTACACCATCTTTGTAGTGTTTACACAGCAGAGATTAACGCCGTAGCAATGAGTCTCCGATACGTCATGAAGAAGCCAGTTACAAATGTGGTTGTGGTATCGTATTCCCTAAGTACTCTGAAAGCTATGAATAACATGTATCCAGACCATCCAGGGATACACAGCATTCTAAGTCTAATAAAAATGCTTCATGGAGTCGGGACAACGGCACATTTTATCTGGTCGCCTGGCCATATAGGAATTAAAGGAAATGAAATGGCTGATAGAGCAGCAAAGGAAGCTCTTACTCTTCCAGGCCGCGGTAAAGTTTTTTTGACACCATCTGAACTTGCACGACCACTGAGAGAAACCATATTCCAAGAATGGCAAAGAGGGTGGGACAACAGCGCACCTAGCAAATTAAAAACAATAAAGAAAGAGGTGCAACCGTGGACCAGCTCCAGACGCAGCAGTCGTAGAGAAGAGGTCGTCCTCACGCGGCTGAGGATCGGACATACTAGACTGACTCACCTCCACCTCATAACAAAAGATTCTATCCCCAGATGTCAATTGTGTAACCAATCACTAACTATAAAACATATTTTGGAAGAATGCCCTTTTTACACCGCAAGATTAAAAGATCTCGGAATACCCCAAAATATATCAGCATCTCTGGGAAATCAAGAAGAGATCGTTACCAAAGTCATCAAGTTCCTGAATGATGAAAGACTTAACAAAAAAAAAAAAAACACATATGACAGGCTTATAATTAATGATCCTTTGCATATCTTTTTATTTATTAATTTTTTTTCTATTTATTTTTATTCTATTTTCTCTTAATATTTTTATTTTATTTTTTTATTATTATTATTATTATTTTTTTATTTTTTTTTTTATTTATTTATTTTTTTTTTTATTTTATTTTTTTTTTTTGTACCGACCATCAAATAGTATTAAGTGATGTTATTTAGTTGATCGGGCGCTTATGACCTGGATGTTTTGCGCCTAGACATCAAAACAAACAAACAAACAAACCTGGAATAGGAGTTAGGTTAATACAATATTTTTATGAGATTATAACATTTTAAATTTCATTCAAAATGTTAATTTATACTGTGTTGTTTGGTTGATTCCAAACCCTACTTGCATGACACTTACTACCTTCACTTAGATTTCATGTAATTTCAGTAAATTTAAATTAATTTTGACTTTATTTAGTTATTAAAAATAAAAGGATTATTTGTGATTTTGTTTGTTTCTATTCAAATTCAACGAGCTCGACGTAGTCTCGATTTCCTCTTTAATCATCGAAGTTGCGTGAATTTTAATCATATTTTTGTATTCCAGCTTAAATTAGTTCTGTTCTGACTGATTGGGTCAAAGTTGTGTCCAAAACCCCTATGTCCCGTCAGGATCTGTGAGGTTCAATAGTCCGGCTCGACCCAATGTGCCTTCAATCTGGAATGAACGATGGGGAAGTACCTTCTCAAGGTGGCTCCTTTCTCACTTGCAAACCACCTCCATCTCATTCCTCTAGAGTCGCCTCTCAGATTATGCCCCTCCATCTTCCACGATCCTCACGAACTGTCCGCTGAAGTCCCTCTGGGAGTGCCTCCAGCCCAGCCTCTTTAGGCCATTCCTCCATGCGTCCTCCTGAAGGACAGGGGCACCTCTCCGTGCCAGGACTTGCACCGCTTCGCGGGACACGGTCCTGTACGCCCTATTAGTCCTCAGCTGGGTGTGCCTCTGGATGTTGGCCATCTTCTTCTGCATTTGATTCAGGAGACGGCCGAAGCCCGCTTCCTACAGCTCCCCCTCCACCTTCCAGCAACTGGTGAAATACTAGCTTTCACAGGGCCTGGCCCAGGACTGAGCCTTGTGGACATCCTGTTTCTATTTTCCACTCTACCTCGTAGAAGGTATCCCGTATATAAATTTATATATTTTTTTTATAAAATGTTGAAATGATCAAGTTTATAAGACATAAAACCATAATGTCTCTCGGTTGAACCTGTCCACTAGAGAGCCCGTCCCCCAGGTGGCGGATAGGGGATCCCTCTTAGGAGGTGGTTTGAATATACAGAATAAAGACCCGTGGACCAACAGGTACCCAGTGCTTGGGGGTATAGTCCGGCCACCCTTTCTCCTGAGGAGACACAAATATTCAGGAGACCAGTTGTCCCGAGGATACGGGGCCTCCATCGCTGGGGTAATAACCCGCATGGTAGTATAGTCTATTCAAAGTCACAAAACCAGCCTCGGATGTGGACAGATCTCACGGAAATCCATAAAATTTGTAAGCGTCGTACTGCTTGGACAGTCGTCGGAAAATGGAACCTGCGGAATATTATGGTCCAAAGGCCTACTATATGCGGACACGAAAGACAAGCTGCAACAGGCCCTTGTAGAATGGCAGGAAGAACTCCATCGCAAAGGTATGATTATCAATAGCTCCAAAAGCAAAGTCCTAGTCATATCAAGAGAGGAACAAGAAGACGTCCAGCTGATCTGTAACGGGCTGGTACTTGAAGTTGTGCAAGAATTAACCTATTTGGATGCAATCTTTTGAGAAGTAATGTGTTGGCGAAGGCCTCGAAAGTGAGAATTTATAAGACAATTCTTCGACCAGTTCTTACATATGGCTCAGAATGTTGGACTACAACTAAAGCCCTTGAGCATCTCCTTCTCCGTTTTGAAAGAAAAGTGCTTCGCCGTATATATGGTGGTATATATGAGGGAGGTGCATGGAGAAGAAGAACGAATGCTTAATTAAGAGCGAGGTACAAAGAAATAGACGTATCAGCATTCGTAAAGGTATCAAGACTTCGCTGGGCTGGTCACGTCATAAGGATGGATCCAAACGAAGTTCCTTACAAGATCTTAGCTGGGCAAATGTATGGTACAAGGCGGGTTGGGCGCTCCAGACTCGCTGGGAAGACTGCGTGGCTGCAGATGCGAGATCTCTGCTCAGTGCTATGAACTGGAAGGCAGCAGCACAGAACAGGGAGGACTGGCGGTCTAAGCTTGAGCAGACTATGACTCAACTAGTGGGTCGTAACGCCGAATAAGAAGAAGGGTACAATTATCAGCAACAAGGGGAAGATCGACACAGAAGTAGCGAATAGAATATCCAAAGCCAATGAGGTATATTACCCTATCAGCAACACTATAGTAGGGCACAGGGAAGTTGGCAAGGGACGTATGGAAGCGAAAGCTGGATTATGCTGGACAAGCAGGTTAGCCATGTGACAGCAGCCGAGATGAAGTTTCTGCGGAGAGCTGCTGGAAAGGCCTGGAGAGACCGCCTCAGAAATGAACGCGTAAGAGAGGACCTGGAGGTGGCGGAGCTAAGGACTTTACTCGAAAACCGACAGTTGAAGTGGTTTGGCCACGTTTGCCGGATGGAGGAGGACAGAGATCCGCGGAAGATTCTCGAAGCTCGACCCACTGGGAGGAGGCCGAGGGGTCGCCCCAGAATTTCCTATCAGGAATATATGCAGCGGATTGGAGAGAAAAGAGGCAAAACCATCCAGGAAATGAGGCAGCTTAGTAGGGACCGAGAGGCATGGCTGCATTGGATTGAGGCACCTCGACGCTAGTAATGGTACGAAGAGGAAGATAAAGAAGAAGAAACATAATGTCGTTGAATTTATTGTTTTAAATGAATAAAAAATAATAATAAATCATTATTTACTTCATTTTTAAAAATAATCAAATGATGTGATAATATTAATTAAACTAGAAAAAGGCTCAATATAACCGCCAGAAACCGCCAGATTCTGTTGCTCTTGATGTTTTGGAGGGAAAGTACTCAAACTGATATGTATAACCGTTTCGTAAACTACCTTCCATGAGGTTAAGAGGTGGCTAAATTCGTAGTGTTATATCTTTTTTTCTAGATCTCTACCGTTAACCAAATTAGTTTATTAAGTTTATTCACTTAATTTACATGTATTATTGACCAAATTAATTGTTACTGACACGCACTTTATTTTTTGACTTTGGCGGTATTGGTTAACTTATGCTGTAAATTTTTGAAAAAATAGATTTTCTCGTTGAGAATATAGCTGTGTGAAAAGTTACCGGTTTTGTTTTCTATTTGTAAGTCATTTTTTTTTTTTATCTTAAGTTGTTTATCAATTTAAAAGTCATAGTGCTTGATTGATTTTCTGTGTTGCAGGTTATTTATTTATTTTTATTCAACAGAAAACATGTCACGACCTACTAAAAGGAAATCAAATGCTGTAACTAAAGCACCAAAACCCAAAAAGATTGCTAAAACAGGTGGGTGTGGTCAATATCAAGGAAATGTTTTAAATAAGTAAATTTTATCATTTGAGTAACTACTAGATGATCTTAAATTAATTTATTTTCAAATCTGTTTAGTTCCTTTTTTCTTTTAGTTAATGAAGTACTTAATTAGTGTGTTAATCTGGTAGTTAATTATTTTTTTTAATGTGAATAGTGTTATGTGCTTAAATGCTAAAATCACTTAAGGAGAATTTAAAATTTTAAAAATAAATTATGTTTTTATGTATCAGTTTAGATAAGCAGGTTTTATGTTGTCTTGTGAATTTATTTTTAATATTTATACTTCTTTGCTGAAGCCGTATGGTTCTGTTTAAAGTGGCATAAATTTATTATTTTTTCATTTTTTGTAAATCTTCCTATCGTTGATAAAAATGCTAACCGTTGATTATGAAAAATTGCCAGTTTTTCAACCCTTCATTCTGGCAATTGTTAATATAATTAAATATTTGTAAATAGCGAATACAAAATCTTCAGACATAAAAGCACATATTAGTGGTGTGGAAATTACATCCTTGTTTAGGCTGAACTGATAATGATATTAGATTAGTGATTTTCAAATTGGATAGTTGGTATTTGTATCGACCATATGCTTGAACAGGTGATTGTTTCTTGCAATAATGTTGAGTGTTGGCTAGGGGTACCCAACCCAAGGCACAATGTGACACTCGGGGGTTCTGAATTGGTAGATGGTCGGCCTAGGTTTTTATTAATAATAAATAGAATAAGTTTTTAAATTTTATTTTTTAATAATTACCTAAAAAAGTGTTGGAGTTGGTATGTTTGGTAGAGATTACAAACTAATAGTTATTAACTTCTTTCATTATGTTCTCAATATTTATAAAAAGATAAAAAAATATTTTAAAAAACAAGTATACCTATAACATATAGAAGTAATTATTTTAGTAGTGGAGAGTACAGGAGAGAAAAGGTACAGTGCTACATGTTGTGCACATGCATTAATCTGGTCGGCCACCCCGTTCCCAAAACCTCAGCATGTAATAAATTGTTAAAAATCTGTAAAGAGTTTGTTTATCCCCTTTCAGTGGAAGTCAAAATTTGGCATCTAGTTTAAGCTACATTACATTCATGATTTTGGTTGCCTTTATGTGACCACTTTTAGAATTCCATCTAAAGTGTTATCAAAGTGATCTTGGTCCAATCGCCAAGTTTAGATGACACTTATTAAGTATTATCAAAGAAAAAGTTGGCGCTACTTTACAAGTGTTCCACTTTGATGGGTGGCCTATAAAAGATCTCATGGTCACATTTTAAAATTGGAATTTAGAGAATGGATGAATCTGACACTGTGTTCACTTAAAACCTTTCTTTAATTACATTGCCAGTTTCGATACTTTTGCTCAAAAGGGATAAAATAACCCCTAACTGGTCCTTTTCAATTGAGGTCGGGGTCTTACCAGACGGTTTGGTCATCTTTGTCTACTTTTGGCTACATTCATTTATTCTTAGAATTCTGTTTATGGTCTGATCGTAGATCTTGTGCCCAGCCATCAAAGTGGGAAAACACTTGTACTACAAGTGGAAAAGTAATGCCGAAAACCTAATCTATTAATATTCATTGAAAGGTATGTTGCTTTATTCCTGTTATTGTTAATTTCTTAATTGCTTTGTTCCAGGAAATAAATTTATTGCCGAAGAAGGGTTAAATAGAGTGCCAGGCTGTGTTTTAGTGATTGGCGAAGGTATTGCTGGTCAGTTAGGATTAGGGATTGATATTTCTGAAAAATCAAAACCAGCTGTAGTTCCTGATCTCAATAATGTTATAGAAATTGCCGCAGGAGGCATGCACAGTATTTGCTTAACTGCTGACAGTAAGGTATGTTAAAAGTATATTCTATGATAAGCTTAGCAACATATACTGTTGAATTCTATATATATTATGGCTGTGTTGACCTAAGGAATCATCAAAGAAGGTTCTTGACAACTACTGTGCCATTCTTTGTTTTTTGTTTTTTTTTACATTGTTATAGATTGCTTCAAGCTACATGCCTCAACGGTCTTAACATCCTTACCATCGTATAATATGATAGACTGAGCAGTTTTTTTATTGGTTCTTTAACATGTGTTAGTACTGAGATTTCATATTGTTCCAGTTATTTTGCTGAGCCTTATCTTTTAATTCTTCCTAGGTTTTGCAACTGTGCATTAATTAGGCTTTTCACAGCACTGTACAACCTTAGGAAATTGGCAACTACAAATATTTAAACTTGGTGTAGTGCATGTCCGCATCTGAATGGGTCTAGGGTTTCATTTGAGTGTGGAAGACTATATCAAGTTTAAATATTCGTTGATGTCAATTTCTCTAAAAACCTACCTTTGTATTAGTCAATATGCAAGTACATTCTCTTAAGATGGATAGGATTTCCTGCATAAGTATTAAATACTTATTTTTTTGTTTTGTAAATATCTAATTTATTAATTAAATTTAGGTAATAACTTTTGGTTGCAATGACGAAGGCGCTCTAGGTCGAGACACGTCTGAAGAGGGTACAGAAGCCATTCCCGGAGAAGTAGAACTTCCAGGGAAAGTTATTCAAGTTTCAGCTGGGGACTCTCATTCAGCTGCCCTACTTGACAATGGACAAGTATATATTTGGGGAACATTTCGGGTAATATTATTTATTCTAAAATTGATTTTCTGCTTTTGAATGGTTAAGATCTAGTAGAAATAGAAAATTAAAAATGTTGTAATTTCTAAAATATTTGTTTATATTTGATAATAGGATGAACACGGTTCTATGGGGCTTCTGAAAAATGATGTAATTGAGAAAAATCCTGTTTTATTAGAAAGCAAAGTCAGATTCTTAAGAATAGCATCGGGTTCTAATCATGTAGTTTTGTTGGATGAATATAAGCACGTCAACACTTTTGGATGTGGAGAACAAGGTCAACTTGGCAGATTATCGGAACGAGCTTCTTCAAGGGATAGTAGAAAAGGTCTTGGTAAGATGAGTTTTATTGATTTATATATAAATCACTTATGGGTTTATTGCTAATATCATTAAGTTAAATTTTAGAAATGGAGTGAGGTGGTCGAATATGCCAACATGTGTGCAATACATGTGTTGCCCGGCATGATAAACTTAAGGTTACGAATTCATGTCCCGGTGTCATGGCCTTGTAACTTTGCTATTAATCTCTCACCCTCTCCTTTGACCCTTTCACCAATATATATGCCAGAAATTCACAAATATATACTTTAAAGTTATAAATAGTAATATGGTTATTTTTTTTATTCATTTCAGTATATAATAGGTCAACAAAAAAAAATTGTTGCTTTTATCATCAGGAAAGATTTTCTTTGAAAGATGAAAACTCCTCTTTAAGATAAGAGATAAATTTTATTACTTGGGGTGGAATGAGTTGCAAGTGGAATAGTTTATAAAGTGAAGATTTTATAAAATCAAAGGAGTCACTAGAACTAAATTATATTATGAAAATAGCCAACTTTATTAAGTATATATTTTGGAAAACAAATAGCTCATGTTTCTTAAAAATGTTGTGATTTTTCTGTTGAGTTCCCTGATAGTTTTCTTAATTTCTTATAATTAAAACTATTAGACTTCAGTATATTAAATGTTCCCACTTACTTTTATGTTTTCAAACTAATATTGATCTAATTGGTAAAATTTTATTTACTGACTTGATCTACAGGCGTATCTTTCAAAAATTCAAGACTTGGGGTATTCTATTTTTTTAAATTGTTTAATTGAATATTTTGTTTATATTATTGTGCATTTATAGTTTTTTTGCTGTATATTTTATATTTTATTACTACATCTTTGAGAGTTTTTTATTACATTTTACATGGAATATTTTGTGGGTTTTTACTGCATATAAAGCTGGGCTCTGGTTATATGCCTAAATAAGAAATCCACCAAAGAACATCTTTAAAGATCAGAATTGTGCATTGGTCTGTAATGTTTGATTGCTTCAATAGGAGTGCCACTTCCCTCTCTTCTTCTCTTCAATAACCAGATAACGTATTCCTTAATATCTTAATAACGGTTTCCTTATTCAAAGTATCCTTTTTCCTGACAGCAATATTTCTTAGCTCTTTTATCTTTGCCAGTCATTTGGAACCAAAAAACTTCCTTTATCTATTAAACATTAGATTCCAACACATAAGCTTGTAAATTCCTTCTCACAAAATTGTTTTCTTGAATAAATTGTATATCTTCTGTGCTACCTTATTTTCAAATTCCTTACCTTTCCTTATTTGTAAAACACCATCTTTAACCTCATTTGAATATATATTTCCTTAATTATGTATCTTCCACATTTTTGTGGATAGAGAGAGTGCATGCATACGTACCACAGTAATTTATTTATTTATGCTGCTTGTCTTTTATTTTATAATTTGATATCATAACTATTATAAGAAACAAGTCTAGTGTATTTGGAATTGTATATTTCTCTTTTTCTATGGGGACTAGTTGTCCCAGAATAAAATTTACTTTTCATTCATTCAATATCTTAGTTCCTTGATGTGACCATTAGGTACTTCATATATCCTCAGAAACATAGGGAACCTTGATTAATAGATTGCTTAGCTAAGATTATTTAGTTAATCATATTATTGATATTTTAATCATAAGAATTAACTCTTTAATTCATGATATTAAAAAGGAAAAAAATACTTTTCAATTTCATACCTCAATAATGTAATTTTAAATTTCGATGAATGTTTAGTTTATTGGATACATTTTTTTCTAGGTCAGTTGTTAACACCAGCTGTTGTACCATTTAAAAATCGACCAAAGTTTGAAATAGTTGATGTTTGGGCAGGCAATATGTGTACCTTTATTAAAGATAATAAAGAACTTATTCATGTTTTTGGATTAAACAATTACAAGCAACTAGGTAACATTGTCTTTTAAATATGTTTTATTATGAATTATTCATCAAGACATTTGAAATGTATAATATGTTAATTATAGGTGTTGAAAAGGGAAGGATAATGTTTCACCCAGTTCAATCTTCATCTTTTAATGAAAAAAATTGGGTTAAGGTGGCAATCGGACAACATCACACTATTGCTTTAGATAGTGAAGGTAAGCTGATGTTTAAATTAATTATTTAGGTATTTAACAACTTGATCAATAATTAAAGAAAAACTTAGTTAAACAAAAACTATTTTTTATATTCGTAAATTATATATCATTCCGAGTGATGTACCTGAATTTATCTAAGAAATCTGTCATCCTCTTTTTTGGGAAAGAGATTGGTCTCTAGCTCCACTCATTCTTGTATGGATACTTATTATTATGGAGGAAATGAACATTTTTCTGGGAATAAATTGAAATCTGGCCATGAATTCAAAATTCGGGCAATGTTCATTTTCTTATTATAAAAGGATTTTTAACATAGAAAATCTACATGGTGGAAGAAGTAAATCAATTCTAAGTAAAATAATAATTATATCTTTAATTTTTTATGGTTTGTACTTGACTGGAACTTTTCTCCAACATTACAGTATAAAGCTACAATCTCACCAATAGTTTTCCTGAGGAACACTTATGAGTAATTGTGTTTTCTTGGTGACAGATTAAGCCCATGTGGAAATAATGGTAACTTTAAATTTGATAAATGTTAATTCTTTCCCCAAAACGAAGTATTGGTACTACTTCGGAAGTACTACTCTTTCAACCATCTTGATTGATCCCAGGTTATCCACAATGTTTCAGGTAAGGTTTACAACAGATAGCACCAGACACTATTGTGGAAGGGTAGTCTTGTCAGCCCTCGAACCCTTCACCTTAAGGTACTATTTTGCTGGTGCTACCCACGACCGCTTGTGGTTGACCACTGATTTAGTTGAATAGAAAGGATCCTATTTCGCTGGCACTGCTCGGCAGTCTAGGTATGATGTCATATCTAAGCTGCTCCTATCTGACCTCCCCTGAAGCAGTGGAGCTATTGACGGTTCGACGGTTGTAGGTTATGTTATCATATCTGGGCATTATTTTGATGATAAACAGTCATGTTGATACGTTTTATTTCCTATGTTTCTTTCAAGTCTGGCAAAAGTACTAGAAATATTGTTTAAAACTTAAACAATGCAATAGTAAATTCTTTTTTTAAGGTTAAAGTAACAAGATTATTTATTTATTTATTTATTCCATAAACAATATTTTACAGCAAAATACAAATATACCTAAATCCAAACGGTATTAAATAAATTAAAGAATCCAATAAGTTTTAACGTCAGGTAAATCCTAAAATCCACCCATTAAAAAATCTATTTGTATTTTTTAATTAAAGTGGTGATTTATTGATTACTATTGATAAAATGATAAAACTTCACCTGCTGTGATTTAATTACAAATATATGATATTTATTACTAATCAATTATGTAATAATTACTATTACTTTTTAAACTATTAATATCAAAGGGACTATTGTTAGTACGGCATTTCCCGCCTTTTTGGTTGTTCATCTAGACGATAGTAAACAATAACCAAGAAAGGATTTGATGATGAGCATCTCATCGAAAATACTAATATTCCTCCTCCTTATGAACAACATTTCCTCTTCTTCTTCCTCCTCAAATAAAAAAGTGAAATGTTCAATGGTTATAGGCAGGTTATTACAACCCCAGTGAGCAGTTTCAACGAAATAGCAGTTGGCAGCGTGGAATTGCGGTCGCTGTTGTGGGCCGCGCCAGCAAGATAGTACCTTTACATTCATTACAAATACAACCTTTATAATATATATTAATAGTCTTTATTTTTAACTTGTTAACTTTTTTGTCTCTTCAGTATATCGATTAAACAAAATTTCTATTTTCGATGTTATTTATAGACACATATAACCTCAATCAAATTTCTAATATTATTTATGATTATTGTGTTTATATATTGCCTGTTTTTGTTTTTTTAACTTCGAAAACTTCCCAGCTGAGAAATGTTCATTTTCTCCTAAGTAAAAAAAAAATTGAAATTTGATCATTTCAATTCTTTCGTGCTCCTATTGAATAGGTCAATGGGCTCTTTAAATATTGTCATCTGTTTGTGATGCTCCATGTGTATACAAAAAAAAACTTATTAATTTTATTTAATAACTTACTTTTTTTGTCTTTACTAGATGTATTTACTTAATACAGTTGTAAATGTCTTTAAGAAATTAAAACAAAAAAACTTTTTTTGTAGCTTTACTTAGGGTTTCCTGTTGTTGGTAACTTCATTCTAACATTTTATTTTAAAAAATCATGAAAATTGGGTTATTTATTATTTGAATTTACCCTGCAATAATGCCGAAGTTTTCTCATTTGTCTTTACTAACAACCTGGGAACCCCTGAGTCTTAGTCTGACTTAATAATAATTATTAATTTTTACTAAGCTAAAAAATTGAAAATTGGATCCGTTTTCCCTTTTCTTTACAAGATAGCATTTACCAAATCAGTTGTTTGAATAGATCGAAGATTGAGATGTATGTCTGTTACTTTAATTTGAGTAAACAATCTCTTTATTGAAGTTGCTCCTCCATTATTCTTTGAAAGCTGGAAGAACCCAATATTATCAAATCCTCTTGGTTCATTATTATTCACGGCCAACTAATCATCAAATGGTCCACTACGGTTTCGATGAGATACTTTTATATTTATGTTTTAATTTTTTATTTTAGGTCAAGTTTATGCTTTGGGAAGGCATGAGTATGGACGTCTCGGCCTTGGAGCTGACTGTACTGATGCGGATGTACCTACACTGGTTAAAATTCCTAATGATGAAAAATGTTCAGACATATCATGTGGAAGTACTGCATCCTTTGCAGTTACAGAGAGTGGTAAGTTTTTCATTACAATATAAAACTGTTGGAGTGTTTGAATTAGTGCTGGTGTGTTCGGTTGGTTCGATTTTTTTTTTTTATTATTTAATAATTTTTAAAAACACATTAAACTCGGGGTTCACTCTTTATAACAATACTCGCGAAACTGTCTTGCAGTGTTAAAGGGCTAGGTTATGTGGTGAAATGTTATGAAATAAAAAAATGAAAACAACATAATTATCACATTTTGCTAATTCTTAAAGAAATATTTTCAGTTTTTTAAAGTAATTAATGTATTGAACTTAGAAGCTCCCTTAGTCCATACAATCTTCAAGTCTGATGTTTATTTAACATCGATTAGGGGATAAATCAGGCTGTTTTTGTTGAATATAGTTAGTTTACTATTGGCAGTATTCAGTTAAGAACACCAGAGGGCCTTTATGGGCATTAAATAGTGACCTACTAATCTGGTTATTATAGTCTGATTAAGTGAGAGACCAGTTTTTTGTAACTTCAAGTACATAGCTGTTTTATTTAGATACAGGAATGGCAGCTAAATTTAGCTAGATTTGTTTGTTGATTAGTTTTAACCAACTTGTGTACTCTAACTTGGCCAGGAATGGTGGGTTATCTTACAGGTTTGGGCGGGCTGGTAATTGCTGTTAGCCAAAAATCGACCTCATCTCAGGCAAAGGTTTGAATGTAAATTATGAAAGTGTATGTTATTCTAAGTAAAGAATGAAGAGGATGGTTGGGGTGATCAGTCAAAATAAAAATGGCAAAATTAAATAATATTTATTTTTGCCATTTTTATTTTGACTAATCACCGCAACCATCCTTCTCCTCATTATTCACTACAGTCAACCATCAACCCACAATTATTCTAAGTAAAATGTAACTTGTCTTCTGCCATTCCAGAGCCGCTGATTTAAAGAATATTAGGCCAGTAACTTAAGGATAGAAATGGGAGATATATTATGAAAAATGTGGGAAAAGTTGTTAATTTTTAAACTTATGTATATGGGTATGAACATGTAAAATCCTAAAGTTCTAACTCAAATGACCAAGAGAACTTTTTACAGCCGATAAAGTTATATTATATTAATCGGATCCCCCTCACTCCTCAAATCCTTCCCAGTATCTCCCAATCCTCTCCTGAACAACTCCTTTCTTATTCCATACTACTGTTAAAAACCTAGGTGTTACTTTTCATCAAACCCTCTCCTGGAAACTACGCATCTCTCAAATTTCCCATCTCACTATCTCTATCCTCAACTCATTGTTTCCTCTCTTGTTTTCTCCCCTTTGACTATAGCTGTATCGTGTACGGTGAACTCGGGAGATTTTGAGGCCAAACTTAAACGCCTAATGAATTGCGCATTACATTTCTATTCGGATTCTCAAGAGATACGCATACTACCAAGTATTACACCAAGTTGAAGTGGCTCCATCCATCCTATCGCCGTCAGTACTTCCTAGCTACCTTTCTGTACCAGATCCCCACATATATTATTACAATAAGGCTCGAAATCGGTTTTGTACCAAATATATACTGTTGTCATGCTCAAATTCCATGAATGGGGTACCGTTGGATTCAGAATTTCACGAGGGGTTAGCCAATCATATTCTCCACTTTTGTTTTTCTTTCTAAAATAAATAAAATTGATACAAATATTTTACTAGGCTTCAATACTGGAATGGTGGTAGATCTGTAGATCGATACGGGACAAATTGGATCTTGAAGATTTTGATGCGTACAGCAAGACCCCCCTGGATAGTTGCTCCGGAACTATCTGGGATCCTGCGTTTTAAGCCCAAAAATGTACTATTTTCGAGATAACGCAAGGCATAGGGTTCGCATCCACACAACCTTATGTTAATTGTAGTACTGTCATTGAATACATGAATCATTTCGTCGACTTGAGGTCTCTATGATCGAGAGAGGAGGAGTTTATATTATTTATCGATGGTGTTTTTGATCGGCAAGCCATATCATCGTTAATTTTTCACCAAATCTCAAGATTGAGCCACCAATTTCGAAGGCTTCCTTCTTCAGGCGGGCAAAATAGTCCAATCACTTCGAAAATTCAGGCAAACAAGTTATGAAAGAAAACAAACTTTATTTGCGAATAACTGAAAAATTACACACTTTTCCCTTGGTTGGTCTCTTGGACATATTACTCTAAAGAGCCCTGTGGCATGGAAATGAGTTCCCTGAGAGGAAAAACTTAGAGTCAAAGTTGTAGAACATGAAATTCTGTGTCTTCTGAGTACCAACAATTTTAATGTAGATCAATTATATCTCTTGAATTGGGACTTGTTATTTCTTCATGAAGATTAGTTTCTTTTGACACATTGTTTCTCAAAATCTTGTATTGCTGAAAGTAGGAAAAGAGGTCTATACTGCATATAGCAGACTCTAAACAATACTCGCAGTAGAATAAACAGCCATTCTGATAAAATATTGAAAATCACATATACCTTCATTACCAATTCCAAGGCATTGGGAGATAACAGATTTTGTGTGGTGTGTCACCTACATTAAAATTGTTGGTACTCAGTGGACGCAGAATTTTACGCTCTACAACTTTCATTCTATAAGATTTTTCTCTTATTGGATCATTTTCAAGCTACACAGCCATTTAGAGTAATTTGTCTCAGTTTTGACCAATTTGGTAAAAATCAGCGTTCGTTGACCGTGCTTTTCTACCATACCACTTGACCAGATTATTAAAGTTAGATACTCGTTCAGTGCACAATTTAACATTCTTTAATATCTTAAAGAGTACATTTTTCGCTTTGACACACTGTTTAGGAGTTGTATATGAAAAAATATTGCTTTTTTGGTTGTAAAAAGTTTTCCCTTGGTTGCTTGAGTTAGAAATTTAGGATTTTACATGTTCAAACCCATATACATAAGTTAAAAAAATTACAACTTTTCTCACATTTTTCGTAATATATCTCCTGTTTCGATCCTCAAGTTACTGGCCCAATATTCTTTAAATCAGCCGCCATTTTTGAAATCAATGGCGCTGGAGAATGGCAGACAAGGTACATACATTTTACTTAAAATAACATACACTTTCGTAATTTACATTCAAACCTTCGGGTGTAGGTAGAATAAACCTAAAGTAAATTAGATAGAGTGAACATCACAGTAAAATAAAGTAGGTAGAATATTAGCAGTAACAGAGAACTAAAAAATAAATAATAATGGCAACACAGTAGGGACTAATGAAATAAACATAATCAAAATAAGGTTACATGAAAAATGAATTAACAATGAAAAGCAGTGGAATGTATAAGATAATAATCGTAAGTGTAGATTAAAAAAAAAAATGGGGTGACATAGTTGCTAAAATATGATGTAATAGTATGCTAAAAGGAAGTGAGATAATCATAAGATAAAATGGAAAACAGAGTGAAGGGTAAAAGAAGAGAAAACTAAGGTAACAAAAGATGAACAGACCTGGTCAAGTGAAGAACGTATTATGGTAAGAAAGAGTAGAGTTACATAGCACTATCTGTAATCGGTTAACCGTTACAGAAGAGCCTTTCTATTAAAAATATGAAGTTATTGCTTTACTCTTGCAGTTTCAGTTTTTTATTTACTAAGATGAGCAAGAAATTTGTTAGCAGTTCTGTTTGGACATAATCAAAGGCTATTTTCATTTAATTGTTCATACAGATCTTAAGTTAATATTGCAATATAAAACTTTTGAATGAGCACACAGGATGACGTTTTTTCATTCATCTAATCTAGATCCTGTAACATTAAAATCCATAATTTAAATTTCAAATACTATTTAGGAGTTTTATGATTTATTATCTCCACATCTGTTCTTGTCCTGTAGTCCTTAAAAGCAGAATTATATTCTATTACTCTGAGAGAAGTTATATTATTATTTTTTTCCTGTAAATTGTAAAACATTTGATTAGGGTAGTAGTTTTCTAGCTTATAGGTTTTTTATGTTTAATTACAGGGAAATTATACTCTTGGGGAATGGAGGCATTGCAGCTAGGTGTCGGAGACGGGGATAAAGTAGAACCAACACTAGTTACAGGAAAACAACTCGAAAAGAGAGATGTAATCAAAGTTGCTGCAGGAGCACAACACACTATTATTATTGCTAAGGACAAAGCAGTTTAACAGGAATTAATATTTTGTTTTTTCTGTGGTGTAAATTTCTTTTAATTTATATTTGATCTATTTTATGACAGTAATTATTTTATCATTAACAATAACAATTGCCATTTTTATTTATTGTATATTTTTTCCATTTTATCTTTTTTTTACTAATTAATGTGTGCTGTGTAATAGATTGTTCATAAAAATTGTTGATTCAGTATTTACTTTTTTCTTTTTTGTTATTATCATTTAATTGTTATTTTGAAAATTGTTAATAAACTGTATTTCAGTTGGTCTCATTATAAGTGATGACATCATATGGCTCATCACTAATGTATTTATTGCTCAAACACTTTTATCTTAGGTATAAGTTATTTATTGTTAGAAATTGTAAATTTTGTTTAGAAATGTATTTATTTGTAAAAGGTAATATTACTTTATAAAGTGAATTAGTACTTTTGTACTTGTTAATCTTAAAATGGATCGATGATTATAAATTTTCAATGGCAGAAGCTAAAAATTTATGAAAATTTGATCCAAAACCTCTTGTGCCTTGATCATACTGTTAATATTGACTTGTTATTTATGTTATTGTTTTATTGCTCTGATAAAGTGTCCAGTATATAAATAAAAATAATAGGCCATATCTTGATTTATAATTTTGTTTATTAATAAACTTTGACCATCTGTATTTTGACTTATTCTAATTAATGAATTAGAGGTATTGTATGACATTTTGAGCTAATTGCGAGCATATACTATGATAATAAAAACAAATTTGAATAAGTAATATCGTTTGAACTAATCATTTTTAATAATGAACCTGTTAATTGAAAATTAAAATAATTGTTTAATTTAACTATATCAAGCTACCCATTTTATGAGTATAACAGTTTTCCAATGTTCTCATTGGACACCCAGAAAGCAAAAAATACCCAGTCCTGTCATAAATATTGTTACATGGAAATATATACAGATTTCAACACAAAAATTAATTTTTTCAAAAACTTTATTAGAAAATAAAATGTATATCTATAGGGAGTAAAAAAATAAAGAAATTTCTAAAAATGTCCCCCTTTTGCCTTGACACAGGCATTTAATCTCCGTGGTCAGTCATCAATAGCAGCGAGCAGCACTTGAGTTAAGTGCTCAACTGCTTGGACGTGAAATTGTTTGAGGATTTCCAAGTTAAGGTGTGCTCTGTGGCATGCCATCCTCTCCAGTTCGGACCAAAGGCTATAATCTAGTGGGTTGAGATCAGGGCTTCCTGAGGGCCAATCCAAGGCAAAGATGAACTGGAATGTTCTTTTGCAGCCATTGCTGAGTTGACCTGGCCTTGTGAGCTGGAGCGGAATCCTGCCAGGAAAACGCACTGACTTCTAGCAAACAGAGTTATCATTTAGAGGATTGACAACAGGTTCCAAAATATTGTCCTTATTGTTTTTAACGTCTGTTTTAACTTCTTTTTCACAAAATTATTGAAGAAGGGTGATGACCTCTTCCAATGACCTGAGCTTCTTTAGAGCTGAGTTTTTGGCGATTAAATTTATTTTCAATTGTAACAATTTTGTCATCACTAAACAAAATCTTTTGATGAAGACCATTGGTGTAATGGCAAAGAAGTACTTTGCATCTATCCACTATAATTTTTTTTAGGGAAGTGGTTAGCCTTTGTCCTGTCATTCTTCGAAATACACCCATCCTAAGGTCACTTTTTATTATGCAAGACATTGATCTGACAGAGATTGCCATTTCCTGAGACATGATTGTTGTTTTTGTATGTTCTCACAATGTGGAGACAACCCGGTCGACGTCTAGTCACATACAGAAAGGGTCTCATTATATCTATTTATAGTGCAGAACACGAACATATGGCTGATACCCAAAGGTTTCAAAGTGTTGAAAATCTCTGATCTACATTTTCCAACTTTAAGTAAAGCGATCACAGCTATTCGGTTTTCTTTATCACCCCACTCCATGTTAACTGAGTGAAAGAAAATGCAAACTAATTGAGGGATTCTGACATCTAAAGGAAATAACCTGATAGAGGTAAGGATTATCTAAATACCCAAGGATGTAAACAAATATCAACTTTTGTAACAGTATTTATGGCAGAACTAGGTAGTCTTGATAGAAGACTAAGAATGTTTATTTAGATTTTTTCTGCCTCTTAATTTCCCATGCAAAAAACACCCTAAATGTATTTTTTTCCTATAAAATTATTTTAGGCTTAAACTATTTTTTTGTAAGTACTAAAATTATACTTTTGGTGATAAGATGAGAGGGAGGGAGATAAAATCATGATGTGAATTTATTTTTAAATGTAGTGAGAATGTTTATTTGGCTCAACGCTCTTAATGTACAGCAACTAGAGTAGGAAAGACAGGTTATCCTACTTGTTACCAATCTATCCTAACCAGAGTATGGATCTGCCTAGAAATAAATTTCAACTTAGCCAGGATGGATTCGAACTAGTGCTGTGTCTGCTTCTAAAATGCAAAAGCGGGCAACACCTCAATATATTGGGCTGGCAAATGAGTCTTTTCAGTTTTTCTGTTTATGTTTATGTCACTATGATGCACTTCTCATCTGATGAATTAATCCCTAAGGTTTGAATTAATCCTGTTTGTAATATAACAACTATATCTGTTAAATCTTGTTGAAACTAGCTTAGTATTATGTTAACTATTGCACTGTGAAGATGAAAGAAAATATCAATCACTATCGGCATATTTTGTTGTATTATTTTAAAAAAGATTATAGCGTGCTGCAGAAGCTCATTTGCAGTGTTTTTATGGAGATGATGCCTTAACCGAACGCATCTGTCAAAATTTCATTCAGAAAACTTTAATATCAATGATGCTCAACAGTCTGGTTGCCCACATGTAATTTAAACGAGCAATGTTAAGGCCATTGTTGATCAAAATCCCACCCAATCAGTGCGAGAGATTGCTGTGGCCCTAAATGTGATGCACAAAAGCATAGAAAACCATTTGCACATGCTCGGCTATGTTTCCAGGCTTAATGTTTTAGTCCCTCACATGATTTTTTTTTTCAAAAATCACAAAAAATATTATAACTCTCATAAGAATTTATTAGCTATCTACAAGAAATTTAACAGGAAGTTAGAGCCACATAAATTACATCAACAGGATCTTTGCAAATAAACTACAAATGGAGATAAAAAATAAAAACTTTTAAAGAGTTTTTATTTATTTATTCCTTATGCAGGCATTAAATAAAAAAAACATTCATATGGCTTTGGAGACCAATAATTCAGCTTTCCAACGGATATACTAACATCGAATTTAGAGAACATCCTGAAGAGTTATGAATGATCAGAAGGGTGTTGTTCCGACAAGACAATGGTAGGCCCCACCCCTCATTGTTTACTCATGATCAATTTTTTTTTGCCCCACCCTTCCTATTCACCAGACTAAGCTTCAAGTGACTACCACTTATTATGGTCTCTGTAGAACTCCATGAATGGAAAGGAATTCCAAAAGGAAGAAGACATCAAAAACCACTTGGATCAATTTTTTACCAATAAACTCCAGACATTCTATGAACATGGCATTATGCAGTTAGTGGAAAGATGGTAAAAAGTCATATTAAATTATGTCAATATATTTTAGATTAAAATAAATTTTATGTCTATAATATATTGAGTTTTATTTCACTCTGAAAAAGCGAAAGGACTTATTTGCCAACACAATACTTAACCAGCATTACCTCAATGCAAGAAAGAGAAAATATTCATTAATAAAGAAGAATTTTTTCCAATCACCCTCCCTTAGCTAACAAAAGGGAGGAGGAAAATTTGTATTCATTTAAAATTATTAAAATGGAAAGGTGCTTCAAGATTTTCTAAATAAAATTAATGTTCAGTAGGTGGTATTACTTCCTCTTTTTTTTTGAAGATTATCTCAATGATTCTAATGTATTATTTTTCTGCCAAAGATGTTCTCAGTTGTAGATTATCAGATAATTTAATTTTGTTTTCACACATTTATGTTCTTATCAGAGATAAAGTAAATTATTGATTTTTTTAAAATTGTGGGTTGATGATTGACTGGTAAATAATTGAAGAGAAGGATGGTTAGAGTGATCAGACAAAATAAAAATAGAAAAATAAATAATTATATTTGCCGACGTTTCGGTCTGAAGTTCAGGGCTAAGAAAAGAACCAGATAACAATAGGTATGAGAAACTCTAAACATTGAATAATAAATAATTAAAATTAAAAAGATGAAAGATATAGACTAAAAAATGTAGGTAGAAAAAACTTAAGGTAAAATGAAGTAGATAGAGTGAACATCAAAGTAAAATAAAGTAGGTAGAATAATAACAGTAACAGAGAACTAAAAAATAAATAATAAGAATGGCAACAAAGTACGGACTAATAAAATAAACGCGATTTTTATGTTTGAAAGATTAGAAAAAAGTAGCTTTAGAGATAATTCCAATAATAATTTGTCAGTGATCTATCGATGGATGTATAATATAGAAAAAATGTATAATATGTATATAATTTATTTATGCTGTTCAACTTTGTATTGGATAAGATGATTAAACAACATTTCTTGAAATGGAGTGGTGCATGCCGGAATGAATCATAAATTTTTTTAATATGCAGATGACAGCTATCCTTGAAAACATTTAAGAGGACATAGGAAGGCTTGCTAAGACTGATAAGAGAAATAGAGGAAATTAGCCTACATGTAAATGAAGAAGAAAAATACATGGCAGGGAACAAAATGATCTGGGTTGAAGAGAAATCGTTCTTCATTCACTTCATCGTTCTTGAAGTTAAATGAAGCCAATTCAAGTACCTTGGCTCCACTATAACCTCAATGTATGACCAATGGTCAAAAATAGAACAGAATAACAAGAGACAACACAGCCTTCTTTGAAAGATATTGAAGTCCTGAAAAAAATCAGATTGAAGTTATACAATACTATAAATAAGCCAGATTTGATATACGGCTGCAAGATCTTAACTAACAACGTAGAAAGAGTAATTAAAAGGAAAGGAAGGAGAAGTCCTCAGCATGACGACCTGAGTGATATGATATCTGAAAACTAACATGGAAAAGACATAATAAAGAACTGCTCACAGTATGCCCAGTCCATACCTCATGATAAGAAGTTAAGTATGGAGGGACGTGGAGCTTGCAGCAATTGAACAGAAACCAGGTAGATAGATCAAACCAACAAATATTTTGCATAGCTGCAAACAATAGCCAAAGTTGGAGAAAGTGGATTCAGACAGCACAGAATCTATTAGGTCTATAAATCCTCCCTCTCCCCCCTCCAAAAAAAAACTGTATATTATAGTTCTAATGTAATCACTATTTATTAATTCATTGGTATAGATCCCTTTTTCCTGCTCTCAGAAGCTATAAATTCAGACAAGTGATTTGTCAAAAGAAATGGAATTTCTTGAAAAGCTGTCAAATACCAATTTTGATACTTAAATTCTTATTAAAATTGATTAAAAAATGTATAGGTGGTTTCAAAACTGTAACGTGATTACTCAACAGATAGCGATGAGATAAGTTCTAAAGATTTTGAGGTATATAATAAGCCTGATTGTACCAGACCTTCTATTATAAAGCCATAAAATTAACTATTTTTGAGATAGTACATATTTATTTTATAAAGCCTGTTGCACAGCTTCACTCTAATTTTAGAGGTAGCTTTCGAGGTCCCATTTTTATATGCCATTCCTTTGGTTTTTAGTTGTATATATTACTGTACAGAGGAAATGGTCTAAAGCAGATCCTATTCTTCAGCACCAACCTATAGACCTTGGCGAGTACAATAATAATGTTTTAGTGTAAGTTGAGAGGCAACTGACTAAATATTAAAAAGTGACAAGTTACGAAGTTTAAACTAATAAAATTATGAAATATACTAGTTGGTATTACTCATACGAATAATTCACTTAGTGACTTGATCAGTGAACAAATGATAAATAATGCAACATATCATAAGTTGGAGGAATCAATTCTTATTTTCTCAGTAATTGTAATCGATAGGAAAATAAAATAAAACTTCATTAATATTTTAAACCAACATGTTAACAAATTATAATAATCTGTATCTTTGCTTGCAGTAGACCAAGGAATTTAGTAACCTTTCAAATAATCATGGGTGCAATTTACAATAAAATTTATATTTTTGGAACTATTCGCAAATAAATTTTCTTTTCCTTCATATATTTTTATCTTGAAATTTCTGTGGGATAGGACCAATCTTCAAAACGAGTACTCAATCATTGGATTTGATGAAGATATAGCATACCAACAAATAATACCTTTGAGAAATAATAAGAAAATTAAATAATACACAAAACATTTAAATAATACTAATAGGTACAAAATACAGCTACCAAGATACAAGCACCTTTTCCACCTGTGATTCCATGCACTTCAAAACTCGCTTAACTCTGACATATTAATGTGTCTATATGAGTTACATCAAGAAAAAGGCAAACAAAACTATAAGATCATCAAAAAGGGAATTCCTCAAAGAAAGATTGCAAACCTTTGAGGACAACTGGCAGCCTGGAGATATACACGAATTCTAAGCAGACATTAGGAAAGAAAGGGTAGGATATAAAGTGAGAAATCCGCAAATGCGAGGAAAAGATAACATTCTGACAGCATCTAAAGAAAGTATATTGAACATCTGGAAAGAACATTTCCAATTACTTCTCCATCAAGGGGACCCCATGAACGAAGAAGGCATGGACCACAGTGAGGATCTTGATCCAGAAGAGGTTGAAAAACCAGATACACTGGATGTAGAAATAGCTATTAAAAGGTTCAAAAAAAGAAAGGCCCCAGGGATAGACAACGTACCATAAGATGGAGGAGACAACTTAAGAGCCAAGCTACTACAACTACCAAGCTACAACTAGTCCAGAAAATATGGGAAGAGGAAAAGATACCTGAGTCTTGGAATACCTTATCTGTCCTTTCCTAAAGAAAGGCTCCATGTATGAGTGTAGTAATTACAATTTTGTGTAGTAATTATTTTATACAAAATAAAAAACTTAGTATCTTAAGATGAAAATAAAAATTAGACTATGGTAGTATTTTTAGACATATCGTCGGCACCATGTGAAAGTAACAAATGTTAACCTGTCCAACGTTGCACATTAATTACTTTAAGATGGTGTCGACAAAATTAAAGTTAAGAGTTTTTTTGAGAATAGACATAAATTACATTTTAGTTTATATTGTATTACAAGTTAATATTAATTACTTCAATGGAATCTGTGTGCCATTTCTGAGGAGTATGGTGATGATGGTGCACACCCAGCCTCTATAAAATAGGTACCTTTAATTAAATAATTAAATAAGGGGGAAAACCTGTCAGTTGAGAGTGATCTCAGTCAAATCATCTCCTTGCACAACCATTGTCTTAGAAATAGTACTGAAACTAAGACCCTTCCTGGGTTGTAGTGGTACAGGTTTCATGGTGATGTTAGAACCTCTTTAAAAGGAGAAAGCTATATTTTGTTTGGCTTGGAGACACGGACAAGTTTATTTTTAATTTGGAACTTTATATTGTGGATCTTCTTTTCTAAATGTATGCCACTCTATGTAACAGTTTATATTTTCTTATTCTATAATTAATGGGCTGTGAAAAATCATCTCTAAGGTATGTAAAGATATCTCAGCAGCTGGAATAAAAAATAACCTACCAGATTATATTAAAAATGACAGTAAATATAAAAAAAAGTGTTTTATCTGATCACTTTGATACGGTAATATAAAAAAAACCCTCAATTCTAAAGCAGAGGTAAAGAGACCATTCTTATGTTTTAAATTAATTGTTCATCTACTAAAAAAATTAAAAATTAATTAGTCATTAGTGTGATACTTACAATAATATTTGTCATATTGATCACCCTTAATTGAACTACAAGTTTCTCGACACCATAAATGAAGATAAGGACAAAACAGTAGAAACCAGTAAATAGACTGAAACTTAACCTTCACATGTTCAGCCTCAATTCAAGTGAAAAGAAATGTTTCAGTAATAAAATAATGTTAGATATGGAATGAAGATCATAATTTTTTGCTAGTAACTAATAATTAAAAAGTAATTGAGCTTTAGGTCCCTGTAAAATTTAAAGATTGGTTTTCCTGAATTAGATCTGATTTATTTCTGAATAAATTTATTTTTTTGTCTATGTTTTATGTGCACCATGTTATTGAATAAGTAGTTATGTATACTTATGATATGTATCGGATAATTGGGTCTTTCTTGCCGTGTCTTTGAATAATAATGTAGATTAGTTTTAGCCATGGAAGTATAGATGACTGCTAAAATTATAAGGATGAAAAATAACTGGTAATATACATGCATTAATGGTGTTTATTAAGTTTGCTGACATTTCGATCCATCATATGGATCATCGTCAGCGCATTGGTAGCTGGCTAGAATATCAAGAACCCTTATTATTATTGGAGCCAGCAACAATAGACCTGATGATGACCCATATGATTGGGTTGAAATGTCACCAAACCTAATTATCACTATTAATGACTGCATATACTGACTATTCATCCTTATGATTGGTTTTGTTTTTTTAATGTTCATAATATGAATCTCTACTTATTTTAGATAACTATTGTCAAGGCCACATATTATTTACTAGTGATATCTCGTATTTCTTTTATTAGTTTTAATTTATTCTGAAGTTAATTAAAAAAAAAATTGGAATTTATTAGTGGGTTCCTGTTATTCAACTGAATCTCAATATTGAACTGTTAGGTATGAATTAAGTCCTTCTAAAGAATTGTAATAAGGGTGAGCTAAGGTCCCCAAGATCTTAATATCTTACTTTAAAGATTTTAGATATGACCTATTAAGTTTAAAAAGTCCGTAATTAAATAATTAAATAAATATTAAAAAGAAAGGTTACTCAGATGCACTGGTCTTTTCTTGAAACTTCATTTATTTAATTCAATATTAGAAGGTCTCGAAATTGTTATCGTATAGTCATGCTGAGTAGCCAGCTCAAAATAAATAAGAAATAGATAAATATAAATAAAATTTCTTAAAAGGGCAATTTTTTCTTGTAGAGTATTTAAATGATTTCTTTCAGTCAACTTGATGTTACCATTATACTTCTCAGAAAAGTGTTTGTATTTGTTGCTATTTTATTTTTGTTTACATTGGAAGGGGGCCATCTAACACACCTTTCCCCTCTGGCTACGCCCTTGGTATGGTTCCCAACTTTTCTTGATTCCTGTATAAATAACAAGTCAAAGTTCAGTGAAAAATTGCTTGAAGTTAAGAAAAAATTCCAATTTCCGAAATTAATTAATCTTCGTAATAGTAAAAAAATATTAGGTTCTTTAATTATATACGTTCCCAGGAAAGTATATAGTTGGAAGATAGCAACCTCTTCAATATATAGTTCCCTGAATATTAATTAGATAATTAAATAAAGTCGGTTAAAAACTTTTTGCGTCTCTCAGAAGTTGGTAGTGGGAGGTCCGAAGGGTTGTGGTGGGGTGTTCGCCAAACCTTCCAATCAGTCACAAGAAGCCATCGTACCCGAACTTCATTTGTAGGTGAGTGTTCTCATTCATTAAATTTATTGATATATTCATGATAATAGGTGCATCGTTTTTACGTTTAGATAATTTATTATTTGCTATAGTTTTTATAGTAGCCAAATGTTCTTATAAATTTTACCAAGATATAGTCAACTGACAAAGACTTGACAACAACTTCATTTCTTATACCTTGTAATTAATTTCTCTGTATACAGAGTTCCCTGGTAGTTCTGCTTTTTCTTAAAAAAACTGTTTCTTTTATTTTAAATGTCTTTTCTACTCGATATTCAGAACTACATTTTTCAAATGCCTCTTGCATTTATGTATTTAGCCTATCAGGAACTGTTCTTAATAATTCATTATTTTCTCTAATACATTTTGAAGTCAATTTATTTCACATTGTGTCTTGTTTATATTTGAGTCGTACAGTGAAATATATAAAGTAAACGATTTAAAAAAAAAAGAGTAAATTTTAATTTATTCTTGAAGCCATTTTCTTATATCCTAAGTAATTAACAGTCATTTGAAATAAAAAAGTTCAATTAAACTTCTCCCTTATGTTAAATTCATATATTCAGGGTTTTGTCTTAAAATTGTTTTCTTCTTGAATCATTTTCAGTTTCCAGTACTTCAAAGAAGCCGGTACCCGCCATTGTTTTGGTAATTCTTTCTAACGCTTGTGTCCTTTGTCCCTTTTAAACCGTTAGTATCTTAAGTCTTTATTCTTATTGATATTATGTATTGATTTTGTTTATATATAAATATATTTTTAATCGGCATTCTCCTTTAAAATATTAATTTATATTATAATATCTGAATATGATAATTTATCTAAATTGCATTTTCACAATTTTCTTGAATGGAAATTCAACGTTCTACTACCGAGTTTTAATTTTTTTCTGTTATTTGGCAATGTTTTTTCCGGTTTTTATTCAAATTATTTCATAATTTATGTGCTTAATTATGAATGTGATATGATACATGGACTTTTATGGTTAAATGTTAATCGAATGTTGATTTGATGAAGTCTAATTTAAAGTAGAATGTATTTGAGTTACCGTTAAAACATACGGACTACTTTATTATTTCATTAATTAATGATCCCCTCCATCTTAACGTAGTAATGTATTAATTACTGAATACGTGGTTCAGTGGACTGATACCAATTATTCATTCAGCGATAAGAAATGTGTACCACTGTACATATATCATTCTTGGTTGTCAGTGGACCCAGATCTGTTGCTCACTGTATGAATGACTCCCGAGAACGGCCGAATGTGTCCGAAAGCAGACGAAAGTGATTGAACCGTCTGGTCTCGGTTTTCCACGGAAAAGGACTCTGGTGGGTTTATTTACTTACTTCCTTATAGTCGAAATTTGCGATGTAATTTCTAGTAATGAACTTCCCGATTTTTACTGGAATGAGTTCGCTGGATATGGAGTTCGCTGAAGTTTTCAATCCTCGGCTACTCTCGAAAATTCATTTATTCCGCTTACAAGGGATCTTCCACCATCCCATTGGACATAATGTGTGTTTTCATTATTATTTACGTATTATCCATCGATTCTAAATCAAAGACAAAAAATCTGGTTAGCTACACCGGTTCTAATATCACATCTAAATAATCTGTTTCTTAAAGAATTAATCGAAATAGGTCTATTTTAAGTATTACTTTATAAACGTATTTAATTTTTCAGATTATTCTGGTCGATTTTGTTTTTCTTCCTTCATATGGAAAAATAAATATCAGTATAATCAACGTTTTTAAAAAAATATGTTTTTAAGTTAATAATTTGTAAAGAAATGTGAATAAAAACTTATTTTAATTTTTTTTTTTTAATGAAATTTACAACTGTATTACATTGAAAATACAATAAGTAAATGTGACATTGGTAACATGACATGTACAACATGAAGAGAAACTACCCATTGGTAGAACTCAAATTGAAGTTCTATATTAAAGGTCCCGAAGCCATCTTTATTTCAGACGCCTCGGAGGGTTATCAGGAATCGAGGAAGCAAGGTTTGAAACGAGACGATTCGGATGGTTCTGCAGTTTGTTATGGAAGGATAGGTATCTGGATTGGGCCAAATCGGAAACATGGAACATTAAGGTCTTTATAGATGATTTTACGAAGGATTGGATACGAGAGGAATTCGATGGTTTAGTGGAGCCGCAAAGCTCAATAAATAATTTTTCATATCCCTTGTTTATAATTTAAACCATCTTCAACTATTTCTTTTAAATAGTCAAGTGGGCAACAAATTAAAAAAAAAAATGAGGAAACTTCACAATTTACTTTAAGAAAAAAAAAAAACTTTAACGTTGTGTATATTTATCAGTTCTTTTCCCATTTTCCTCAACAAACTTATTATTTTTGCAATACCTTTCCTTAATTTTTGTAAGTAGTAGACTTATATTTTACTAACTTTTGTTAAAACGATTTTCTATGAGACTAACCTTACTACGAGATAGGTTAGTTAACCTAGTTCTCGTTATTAAGTAAATAATTTCATAAAAATAAATAGCTGTTTATATCCCTAGTCTATATTATTATTAACCATTTTCAACTATTTCTTCTTTAAATAGTCAAGTAGGCAATAAATTGAAGAGAAAAAAAAGTGGAAACTTCACAATTTACTTATAGAAAAAAAATCTTTAACTGTTGTGTTTATTTGCCATTAATTTTTCCATTTTTCTTAACAAATTGATTGTTTTCGCAATACTTTTCCTACTTTTTTGTATGTAGGTGACTTATATTTTTCTAGCTTTGGTCTAAACGATTTTCAGGCACTAGGGAGTAATAATTATATCTCCGTTTTTCTCTTGATGCCCAATATTATAAATGACAATGTCCAAATAAGCTTATCTATGCTGTTTCTTTGTTTACAACTGAGCTAAATTGGTATCAGCAACGATAAGTAATGATCAGTAATGAATGAACGTGTAAGGGCATGATCAAAGCGATCCCGAGCAATCTTTGCCATCATTGTGACGTTCATTCATGAATTACCGTGTAGGGTCTGCTTTAGAGCGTTTGTCTAGTAAGTGCTGCAGCAGTCGAAAATCTCAGGCGGTTTCTAGTCGTTTCAGTCTGATATGGGATTTTAAAAATAAATACATTTTCTTCATCAATAGCCACTATGAACGATATTCAAGGGCCGGAAATCGTATTACATTTACAGGCAGCAGTTCAATTATTAGCGTTTATTTGAGCGCTGAAGAGTTTTTCTAACTTTGTCTATCCCAAGTTATTATCCTAACAAGAAGAATGAATTTATTTATTTTTTGTTTAGTTTCTTGGCCCAGCCTGTTGTTGCTTAGTGAAAGAAAAATATCACTTAAATTATATTAATTGCGGTAAACATATATAATGATAGGCATAAGCGCAAACTACCGGGGGGGGGGGAGTGAGAGGGTCAATCGGTCCCCTCCCTCTCCCAATAAAAATGTTGAGGGGGCGATAATATCGTTTCTCCTCCTCTCCCAACCCAATAATTTGTAGGAAAAAAAGGGTCAAAATTGATTGTGAATAAGATACGTAAATTATTAAAATTTATAAATTAAAATCGATTTAGAAAATTCGACTAGCTGGCTAAGGCCTGCATCACGGCTTAAATATTCCTATTGTTTAAATTTTCATTTATATCCTAGGATCACGGGCAGATCTACGGGGGGGGGGAGGCTTTAGGGCTGAAGCCCCCCAAAATGGTAAAATATAACCACTTTTTATCGAAAAAAATATTTAAAAAGTATCTCTTAAAGTATTATTGTTTATGTAATTACATTTAAAAGGGCTTTAGGAATCACTTGAACACCATTTTATATAAGTAGTTAGCTTCTTTATTTTTCCCCAAAGTAATTATCGTTATTTTTATGAAAAAAAAACTTTCGGGCTGAAGCTCTCCCCCCCTCAAAAAAAAAAATTTATCCTGGATCCGCTAGTGCCTAGGATGATTATATAGTCCGTGGTACAGACCTCTTTTTATGAAATCATTAACATCCGCCTAAAGCTGAGTCATATTGTAACTTACAGCTATTATATTTACAAAAATTCTCGGAATTGGGGTGTTTTCAATCTGGAGGTCGGCAATCTTAGTATGTAGATTCTAAAAACTCGTAAATACCCATTTGTTTTCCACTTGGGTCGTTAGATAATTTGAACACAAAATCGAGAAAATAGGTGACCTTCGAAAATATTGATCCGTTTGCGGGTGGGGAAAAAAGAAAGGGGGGGGGGGGGGGGGGGGGGGGGGAAAAAGGGGGGGGGGGGAAAGGAGGGGGGACGGGGGGGGGGGAAAAGATAAAGGGGGAACCAAGGGGGGGGAGGGGGGGGGGAAAAGGAAAAAGGGGGTGGACCTACGCCCCAAAATGTTAAAATAACGCGGTTATATAGGACAAACGGCCCAATATTTTTGTAGGCCACCTTTTTTCTCGATTTTGTGATCAAATTATCTTACGATGCAAGTGGAAAGCAAAAAGGTATTTACGAGCTTTTAGTACCTAATTAAATAGACAGAAGTTTGCAGACTTCAAGATTAAAGTAGGCGGCAATTCTGAGAATTTAGCTAAATGTTAATAGTTTTAGGCTGCAATGATATGTAACTATTTATGAAGTTTCAGAGGGATGCTTATGATTTCCTAACAGAGAACATTCCTAGGATTGTACGTTTCATTCACCTCTATTTCCACGTGATTTTCTTTTAAATTTTCCGCGATAAATTTGGAAAAAATATATTTAATAAGTATTAATATATTTTATAGAGAATATTTTTATAGACATTTTACATAACTAGTTAGTTACTCTATGAAAGCATTGTGTTTTTATTTAAAGGTTGTGCATACTAAGTAATCTAAAATATTTTTCGTTTTTTTAAGATCATTTATTTTTAGCTGGAAAAGTTGTAGAAATGTACTTCTGCTATGGAAGCTGTCTTTCCCTCCATGTTTAGTACATACAAATTGTAATAAATCCAATTGTTTCGTTCAGATATTTTTAAGTATATCTATAGC